TGCAGCAAAGAATAACTTTAACTTATTGATGTTATTCTTTGCTGCAGGGCTGCAAACAAAAGAATCAGGAGATGAGAAAGATTTATCTGACATCCACTGTACTCGTACACGTGAATGTCAGATAAATCTTTCTCATCTCCTGATTTCTTTGTTTTTGTTGTTTGTCAGGCAGTGAGAAGTTTCTGATGGTTCACATAAGCAGAAAACCAAACTTTGAACCAGCAGGAAATATTTTTGCTCGTCTGACGGTTTGTCTTTGCATTAATCTACCACAGACTTTTAAAACTCTTAAATGATGTGATAAGAAACACATGAGCTTCGACCTAATTTCCAACTTCCTCTCCGCTGTGTATCAATCACCGCCCCCAGTTTCCTGCTTTCATTGGAAATCAGCATATCATCAGATATAAATTAACAACAGCACTCAACTAATGAAAGGTAGCATTTAAAAGTTTAACTCTTTTTATGTTTGAACCAGATAAGCATTACCTAAAGGTTTAACTTTTTTATTAAGTCAAATATTTTGATTTTTTTCTAGTTTTCCAGCTCGAAAAGCAGCTATAAGAAGAACAATAACAGAAATAACAATAGTCAATGCAATTTAACAAGTTATTTGTGGCGTTGGAAAAAGAAAACAGGTGATCCTACTTAAAAAGATTGAGTTAATTTGTTAGTAATCAACTTAAGTTTATCTAAGGAAATTTATCAAGTTTATAATGTTGCCATGTTAAACAAAGTATATTTGACAAACACAATTAGATTACATGTAATAAATTAACTATTTTTTTTAAGTTGGAGACCTATTCACTTTTTTCAGCATGTGAAAAGTTTCAATAAATAAATAAATATTATTTTATATAAATAAATTATGTGAAAAAATGTTTGAGGTTTCAATAAATAGAAAATGTCTTCAGTGGGGAAAAAAACTAATAATAAAACAATAAAAACTCTCAATGAACTATTGAATTTGAACTAAAATTATTGCTGCTTAATCATCTGAGAATTTTCCCAGAGTTGAATTATTTCTTCCTACATTTCATTATCCTGCAGATGCTTTGTAATGTCTAAACTACAGATACTTAAAAGATAATTAATTGTTCAGTGGTGAAACCGGAACATTCAGTCGTCTGAAATAAATTAAAAAGGTAATTCAGTACGTTCTTCTTGAATTATGACATTAACTATAGTAAAGGTAAATTAAAGAGTATTTTAATAACTTTCTTTCAATCCCTTAGAAATCTTCATCTTCTGAATTTACAATTTCAAATACCATATAAATGTTTTTATTTTTTCTTCTTGCAATTTAGGAGATGTTCAACATATTTACATAAGATGAAGCTACACTTATCAAAGCTGTCTACATGATAAATAAAACCCATAATTTCTTTCCTAAAAATGCTTCAGCCTTCAGCAAATTTCTAGGTGCAAATCAATTAAATATGACTGAAGATGCTATAAGGTATCTGGTATAGGTGTCTGTATTTCCAGGTAGCTCCTAGATGCGTGTTTGTGTAGAAGGTTTTTATCTGTCTCACATACAAACAAACTCATAATAAAGGCAAAATGTAGAATATTAAGAGGACATTCAGTTTCTGGCTCTTCAGTTGTTGTTTTTTTACATTAAAATTGATTCCTTAATAAAAATATAATAAATAAAGAGAGTGAGATGTTGAAATAAATCTGACATTATTGAATGAAATAGTATTGAAATTAATGAAAATTAATTACCATTACATAAAGTGGTAACTTTAAAATGAATTAAAAGTTATTCTCTCTCACTTGCAGTTGGTTAACGTTTTTCTTAACATCAGTGGAAGTTTTATTTTTCTCTCAGCCTTTTAGCAAATTCAGAATGACATAATAGATAGCTTTTGTTCTTGCTTTCAGCTTTTTAAACCTTTTTTAATTTTATTTTTACAACTGATACAAAAAGGTACAATGAAAAACAAAAATCAGTTAATTTTTTATTGATATTATTATTTGCGTATATCTTTTCCATTACAAAGAATTGTCTTATTTAATGACTGAATTTCAGTAAATTAAGTTTTGATTTTATTTTTTATTGTTAATTCATTAATTCTGCTTGTTTTTTATTATTTAATTAAGTACACATTTATTTATTTACTTGGCACACTGTACTTGTTCTGTGTTTTCAATTAATTCAATCTGTGAAAATTATTATTATATGACATTTTTTAAAAAAAGAAAACAAGTCAGAGGAAGCTGCTCCAAAGTGTCTTGCACAGGAGGAAAGGAAAGGAATCGCTTTATGACTGTTTGCGAATGGGTTTGCGCACTAGCAGGAAGTGGCCATAAACATTTAAGCGGTGAATTTTATTTTGAAAGGGACGAGCGGATACACAATACAAAACGTGATACGAAACGTGACGTCAGGGAGGCAACATGGCGAAGACCGGCGCAGCAGCGGTGGATGAAATAATGCGATATGCCGAATATTCCCCTAAAACAAATATTAGGAGTGACGCAGAGATAGACAGACGGTTGGTAAGTGTCCGGGTTGTGGTCGGTGAGTCTTTTTAGCGTCTGTCAAATGAATATAGTGAGATTCAATGACAAAGTCTGTGGTAACCGCCGCGGTGACCGCTAACGGCGTCAAGCTCGGTTACATCAGAAACGTGTGTTCAGGTGAAGCAGCTTTAATTCAACGGTCAGAGTTCTTGGTGCAAAATTACTACCTAGGTTCTTAATGAGAAAACGTGTAATTTTTTATCTGCCTATTAATTTTACGTTAACGACTCTTTGAAGGTAATAATGCATGTTCGTGTCGTGACCTTTTTGTACATAAGATACTAAATACTGAACTCAAACTGAGTGAATTTCATGAAAAATAACATGCAGTAATCAGTCTTGTTGTAAAAAGTTTAAATATAAATTATATAATATTTATTTCCAGACTAAATTGTAATATACTAATTTGACCATGATTAAACTATATGTCATTATAGAGCACTCTGGACGTGTTTGAGGGTATTCAGAGTAATAGTCAGGGTTACTTTTCGGTCTTTAAGGTTTTTATGAAAGTGTTTTTAGATCTGGATAAGTCTGGAAAAATGTTACTGCTGTCAACAAGAAGGATGGAAATGAAAGCCAATTGAAACCATCTTCTGTGGCTGGGGGAATGAGCCAGACACTCAAAATGTGTATAATTGTAAATATTTGTTTCAAACTCAGTTTTGCTGTTTGTCTTTTATTTCCACTTTAAAACCGGAATGTGAGGTCTGCAGATCTGAGTCTGGAACAGGTTGACATTTAGACAGGGAAAATGTGTAGGAACGTCAAATAGTTTTACATAATGTTTCTTTGTTGCCTAATAAGTTTCTATTATTACATTTCTTCTCTTTCATTCACCCACTTAATAACCTGTGTTCATTTTATGAATTTAATTTGGGGTTTTTGTTTTTTTTGGGGGGGGGGGGGAATTGATGGCGGATGTGTAATTACACGAGTAAATATATTTGTTGAAGGCATAAAGAAAACACATCCTACGTCTGATTTACCTCTTTAGCCACTAAAACGTTATTGGATGGTAACATTAGGAATTTAATAGTGTGATAAAGATTGGTTGTTTTTTCAGGGTGAAGCGGATCACACTGTGGCAGAGCCTTCATATGGTGTGCTTACTTATCAGTTTAACCTTGTCTTGTTGACAGGGAGGGACTCTAATCGCAGTTGGCCTTGGTGTTGCTGCAGCGGGTTTTGCAGGTAAAAATAACTCATTGCCAGGTTGAAATAAATGTAGCCTGCTTTAAGAGTTATTCCTTTACTGCTAATGCCTGTGCTGCTGAAACCTTTATTGGTTAAATACAAACAGGTACAAGATCATTTTTTTCTGCCTTGTATTTTAAAATATTTGTTTATCCTGTTTTTTTTTTTGTTTGTTTTTTTTGTCCCCAGGTCGTTATGCGTTCCAGCTGTGGAAGCCCCTGGGACAGGCTTTCTCTGAAACAGTCAAGAAGATGCCCTCAGCAGTAAGTAAAATATCACCTGAGCGTAGTTGTGATGTTCAGATGAGCTAAATATTTTGTTGAGTTAATCTCACTGAATAAAAAAAAAAACAGTAGTTCATCTCGTAAACGATGTTTTCATTAACGCTTATTATGCGCATTTTGAATTATTGTATAAGAAAAGGTTGATGGAAATGGTAAAATTGAAAATAACTAACTTAATGTTGCAAAAAAAGTTTCTACACTCGCTTAAAGTGGTTTGTGGTTGATGTGCTGAAGTGAAAATGGAAACACATTTGTTGAACAAGCTCTAATGAAGTAAATTTCCCCATCCACTGGAGAATCTTTGCCTTACCAGAGGCATGAAACTCAGAAAAAAATTATTTCAAACTTCCAGTTCAGAGGGGAGAGCTCTCTACATTTTTTAGAAATGTGTATTAAATTGTTAGTTTTCAACCTACTACATACTTAAGTGTCTAATATCTGACGAAATTACGCTTTGGGTAGCCTGGTTGATTCGCTCCAAACCAATAGATGGAAACACACCTAATAAGCATTTTTCATTTAGTTTTTTTTTTTTTTAGTAACATTTTAGAAGTTTTCTTGAAAATTGTTGCAGTCGTAGAAATTCTTGAAAAGTCTAAGAAGCAAACTTCAGTTTGCCGGTACGAGTCAGGACTCCAGCTCCAACCATCTTCTGTCCCCTCAGGGATTCTCGTCTTATTACAAAGGAGGTTTTGAGCAGAAGATGTCGAGGCGAGAGGCAGGCCTCATTCTGGGCGTCAGGTGAGCATTTGAGTTAGCATTTGTGCTAACACATGAGGCTAATGATAATAACGATAACCTTCATGTGTTGAATTCAGCCCAGCTGCCACAAAGACCAAAGTACGTGAGGCACATCGGAGGATCATGGTCCTAAATCACCCAGATAAAGGTAACTTTACACCATCTGCTCCATAGATGCTCCCTAAAACGAGCATTTTCACAAGATAGGAATACAAGGAAAGTAATCTATGAAACTGTCGAATTTAACTTTTTCTCCTATGAGTTGGTTGAACATCGTTGTTACTGTCTGACAAGTTTGTCTGACAGCTGCCTGTAGTTGAACAGAATGAAATTTACACTCATACCTTTGGAAATCCTGAATTTTAAATGTTACGTTGATAATTTTTCTTGAGCTTGTTCGAATGTCTTCAAGTGTCAAAGGCTCAGACTGAGTCATGTTTGTTTGTAGGCGGCTCTCCGTATCTCGCTGCAAAGATCAACGAGGCTAAAGACCTGATGGAAAAGGAGACTCGGCGATGACGCTCTGGGTCAGACTGTCAGCTCATTATTTCTGCTGCATCAACATTCACATCAGCACCACAGCAGGACCTCCTCTGAGTTTCATAGAAAACAAAGCAGAGGCTATAAGTAAAGCAGAAGAAAAGACGCTGCTTTTTTACTTATTGAAATGAAGTGTTGAAAGGAAATGAATGGGTTGGAGAAGATGTAATGTTGCCTTCTAGTGGTTGCCGACTAAAATGTTGCCGTGCTAGCTTATATTTTTTGTTCATAGCATTTTAATTTGAATGTACATATATTGGCATGTAAAGTGTTTAGTAAAGATGTACTTAAAAACATTGGAGTGAGAAATGTGTGTTTGTACAACAAAGTTTATTTAACTTACTGGGTGTTTAAATGAGCAACTTGCTTCATGCGAGATCAGATTTTAACAAAATGTTTGTTAAAAAACACCTCATATTTAAAGGGTTGATTTGTTGGTTTTAAATAACTAACAAAAATCTTTTTTTTTTTGCCCATTTAAGTTCATATCTGCCAACCACAAGAGTTCAGCCAGCTGTCACTAAAGTGAGCTGTTTGTTGAAGGAAGCTCTATTGTTCAACAAACTCAGTGTGTTGAGCCCATGACACGGCTTTTCATAAATGATTTACTGCTTTGTGCATTTTCAGCATTCCTCCAAAATAAGACAAAAAAAAATGCCAAATAAGTTTCTCATATACTTTATTTAGAGGAGGATGTTGTGGTTTTTGCCATTGGACGGTAAAGACGGCGTTTAGCAGACACACTTACAGCAGCAGTTCCTAAGAAAAGACTAACCAGGAACGACAAATGTTGAACTTAAAACATATCAAATAAATAGAAGGAATTTGACCTTTTTCAGAGGTTGCATGTCTGCATCTGATATCACGAACAAACGCATCAGTTTCCCCACGCAGTCTGCAGTAACATTTGAACTGCTTTATATGTAGATACTGTTTCAGAAGCAGGAACGTAGGTGGAGACTGTCTGCTGCTATAGAACTGTAAAAACCCACAGAAGCCTTCAGAAGGAAACATCCTCTCCAAGTCCAGCTGAAAGTTAGACACATGCTGAGCAGAATCCACTTAAAAATATTGTGCACTTTATACTGCAACTCAAGAATTGATCTGAGTGACAGAAACCTCACCGACTCAACCACATTAAAGCTGGTTCTTAAAGTAAAAGTATGTGAGCAGAAAACGGGATCCACTGCATACATCTGCTTAGATTTCTACCACATAAGATGTCTTTACATTTTAGGTTTTGGCCAACAACGAGAACGACTCCAATTCTTCTGAAAAATCTTTATATTTAAAACCACAGAGATTCAGAAAACGAACAGCTGGATGGAACATGGTTTTAATTACTGCTGATATTTCAGATTTAAACTTGTAGTTTTAATTCATTTAAGCGTTGTTGGCTTAGTTTAAGAGTAAATAAGTGATGATAGAGTTTTAGTGAAAATCGCCAGTTTCTGGCCTGCTGCTGTGAAGCCTTGACATCACTTGTTTACACACAAACTGCTCTCTTTGAATGAATGCTTGATTTGGACACTGTACTTTCTTAGATGCTGAAAAGCAAACAGACTACAGATATTGTCAAAAGTGTAAATGTTTCCCTTCAGCTGACTGAACATTGCTCTTTTTTTTCTCTTGAAATTCTCTGAGACTTGCCATCAAATTAGGTAACCTAGCTGCTATAAAAGAGTCCTAAAAGCAGAATGATGCTCAGCTTAAAGGACTCCAACCATGATGGCTTCTTTTCTGAAATCTGGAGAAAAAAAAAGGACATTAGAAAGACCCAGAGAGCAACAAGAAGACGGGTTAAGCACCATGGAAGATTTGCTCCAGTTGTAAATGAGGAGGAGGCAGCAGTGGCGTTAGGAGGACCTTAAACAACGATTCTCCTCCACAGAGCAGAAAGATGAGCTGCAATTATTCCAGTTTTCACTCTTTTTACTGTTTACAACCACCGATATCAGAGAAACGACACAAGTCCTCAGTTTCTGTCGCAAAGAGTGAAAGAGCGACCGAGGAGAACGGCCCTTCATGTTTCTCCGCTTCCACGAGAGGTTATGCAGTGATGCTGAGGAGAGGTTTTAATTTACAGAAACGGTCAGAAAAATGCAGACTTTATTTTGCAGCGGGAACACGAAGACGCTTCATGCCTCGGGAGAGAAGCGCTCCAGACGTCAGCAGCCCCTCACCGACAAGCTTCATTAAGGCTGCTCGGTTTGACGTCGGGCGTCCGCTAGCGGTCCTGCGTGGCTCGCTCCGAGTCTTCGTCCTGATGCTCCGCCTCCTTCTCCTCCTCGTCCTGCTCCTCTTTCTCGCTCAGTTCCTCCCCGATCACATCCAGCCTCCCCTCCAGGCCGTTGACGGCTTCCTGCTCCTGCTCCTCGTCCTCGTTGTTGAGAAGCCTGGCCTCCTGCAGCTGCAGCCGCCGCTCTTCGATCAGCAGGAGGCGCTCTCGAACCCCCTCCGCCGTGGCTGCCGTGTCGCTGGGACTCCCAAAGAACTGCTCGCTCCTGAAATGACCACAGGTTTTAGTCATTTCATTTTTTTTTCCCCCTCTTCTTCCAAGAAGCAAATCATTGAACTGAATTGAATACATAAGTTATTTAAACTGTTGGAAATACACTTAAAGAAAAGCCATCTAATGCAACTTATTTTATTGTTAAAAATAAAACAAAACAAGAAGAAATGCTTTCAAAAGAATGAATGAAAAAAAAAAGCTGAGGAACCTGATGCTCTGATCACACATTTGGAACATAAAGTAGAGCTATAGTTAAATAAGTGAAAGGTTAGTAAAGGTTTGGGTTTGTACCCGTCAGGGAAGATGATGGGCAAAGTGAGTCTGTCCAGCAGAGTTCTCCCTGAAGAGTCGACTTCATCCAGAGACTCCACCTCCACACGCTCCTGCTGCAGCACCTGAAGCAAAATGGACAAAAATAAACATACAATCAAATTTAGACTTTAAAATAGGGGTGAAGCGGCATAGTGCAATCACAGGTTGGTATGTTTTCAGTTTTAAAGTCAGAGTTCAGTACATTTTAGTGACGTCTTTATATTTTGTTTATTCTGGCTGTACTCAAAGAATATTTTTCAAATTCGAAAAATGTTTTTGATTTTATTCCGTCTTAAACGTTAAAAAGGGGAACGTATAGAAGTGACTGAAGATTTGGTTTGGATTTTTCTTTAATTAAAATGATGAAAGCACTGCCAATGCCTGGATAGGAAGAATATATAACAATGTAACCCCTTAAAAATGGTCAGAGTGAGAGGTCAGACATTTTTCAAAAACATTGTGCCAAGAATTGAGAATAAAAAAGTACTGAGACACTAGGTTTTTTGTTAATCTAGTGTCCCAGCTGTACCTGAATGCAGCATGAGAAGAGGGCATGCTGGAATTAAGAAATATTGGCCACTATTTGGAAAGAGTGATAATAATAAGGCTCTGTGTTGTCTTGGTATACACACTTTTACTAAAGTGCTCCATGCAAATCATGCTAATATGAGACGCAACATTCAGCTTAAAATGTGAACCCAGTCAAATCTTTTTGTTTCTTTATTTTGAAACAGTATAATAATGGCAAACACTGTTATTCAGCCGTATGGAAATGAGCTAAAATCAGTAAAAGCTTTTAAAAATTAGGGCAATAATGAAAATATTTACAAAAACAATATAAGTTAACTATCTAGTGAAGTGCTTAGCTTTATGTCAGAGAGGTCAAAGCAAAAAGAATCAACTAGTCAGTGAGACTCAAACATACAGGAAGATGAATTCATTCATTGAAACAGGTTTTTATTTCCCAATTATCATAAAATCCCAATGCGTTCGTCTCCTCTAGTTGTAAAACTCACCCTCTCCGCGGCGGTGTGGAAGTTCAGGGCCAGCTCCAGCCGCTGCTGCCTCTCGTCGGCACTGACGGTGAACTGCTTCCACACCCGGTTGAGTCGTGGCAGAGTGTCGCCGGACGAGCGCGTCGTGCAGCGCAGCGACTGACAGAGGACCACGGTCGCCTGCAGAAGCTGGCGGCCGTAATCGTATGTGCTCTGCGAAGAAAAAAAAAAAGAAATAAAGTTTGAAAAGCAGAGCCAGTTAAAAAACTGATGTGTGATAAATAGAAGATCTAAAAATGATTTTGGCGCAGACAACCAACATGTCTCTATCTAGTACCAACATTAGGGACAGATTTTACTATATAGCAGCAATAAAACTTTCCAGTCTCAGTTTGTGGAAAGTTAAAATTTTCCACAAACATATTTTTAGTTTTTTCTATGGACTCTGTCACCTGAGCCACATCCACAAACTTCTTGTGTTTGTCCAACATGGTCCGTGTCTCCTGGGAGTCGTCTCCCAGCCTGACATGTGTCTTCAACAAGGCGTCCAACAGCTCACCGAGCCACTCGACCGCCTGAACACACACACACACACACACACACACACATACAGAAAGATAATCATCTGATCAATACAGGAAATATACGTCAGTGTTTGAGTAATCGCTTTTAAATCCATACGCCTTTTACCTGCAGAGCATCTTCTTCACATTTAAACAGCTGAACCATCTGCAGCATCTTCAGCCTCCTCACATCCACCATGTCCTCACACCTGAAACACACACACACACACACACACACACACACACACACACACACACACACAGGTTCATTAAATGATTACTGAGTAAAACCACTGCTGTACTCAATAACTTCAGTTATGAACAGTAACATGTACAGATCAGAAAATGAAACTCTGCTGTGACTTTGTAACCCGGTTCGTACATTTTTCCCACATTCACTTTTCAAGTATTTTCAAGGTAAGTTTTCAAACTTTTCCAGCACCACACTTTGGAGATAAAATCAAGACAAATGACCTACAAATAAACCTGATAAATAATTCATGATTGTGATATTATTTATTACCGTTATTAATGTATTGTGATAGGATCTACATTCTACTGCAGGAACAAGATAAATTCAAATGACATTTTATGTTTTGTTGTCGGACCAGTCAGGTGGATAAGGGTGTGTGAGAGAGTGAGACATTTCAAAACACCGATTTAAATACAAAAAATAAAAATTGTCCAATTTCTGTGACAAAGTTTAGCATATGAAAATATAAGCCAACCTTTGTTTCAATTGCAAAGATCAACAAGTCATTGAGACATTAGGAATAATAAATATTCATTACATTGAAACGATTCAAACAAATTGTGTTAAATTAAATGCTTACATTACAGAAAGAAAGTTGCAAAAAAAATCTTTAAAATATAGTCTTACTAGATTTTCTGTCATTTAGCAAAAATAAATAATTTTGGTAATTCTAGCTGACCCAAAACAAGAAAAGTTTATTCTGATTTAACTTCAAAACATTGGGAAAAAATGTGCATCCGTCTGAGTTCAACAGTAAATAACACGTTTAATCAAACGTTACACTACACTTTATTACAAAACCGTTCCATTAAGATATGAAGACTTTCAAGCACTTTCTAAATATTGAAACTCAAGCATTTTCAAGGATTTCCAGCACTCTTCCATAAAGAGGAGGGGTGCAGAGCTACCTCTGCTTGCGGAGCTCCATCTCCTCCATCACAGCCTGAACGTGCTGGACGTTGTCCTGCTGCTCTCCGGGCGGGCTCTCCGCCTCCTCCAGAGCCCACGATGCCTGGCCGCACATCTGCTCCAGCACCAGCGTCCCCTTCTGACGGAGCGAGGACAGGCCTGCTTCTGCACGGGGCGAGAACAGGCGGAGGGGGGTTAGCGTCACTGAGGACGGCGAGGGGAAGATGCGTTCGCTCGGAGAACAAACCAACAGTCTGCAGTTTCTCCTCCAGCAGTTTGAGGTTTTGCTGAATGGACGCCCCGTCGGCGGGGGACACGTCGGCACAGAGCATGCCCAGGAGGCCGTCCAGCTGCTGAGACAACTGCGGACACAGAGTGCTGGGTCGGTCAGGCGTGTCGGCCTCGGACAGTTGGAAAGCACGCGGCGCAGTCGGCGTTACCTCCTGCGTGGTGCTGTGGAAGGCGTGCGCCGCCTGCAGGACGTTCTGGCGCGTCTCCAGCTGGGACGCCTGGCTGTAGCAGACGTCGCTCAGCTGCTGCTGCAGCGCCTTCAGCTCCACCACCTCCTCCTCTTCACCGGCGCTGAGCAGGGCAGCGATCTGTTGGTTCAGCTCCACGTACACCGCGAACCACTCCTGAACACGCAGAGAGAGAGAGACAGAGACAGAGAGAGAGACAGAGACAGAGAGACAGAGAGAGAGACAGAGAGAGAGAGAGAGAGACAGAGAGAGAGAAAGAGAGAGGCGGTTCGCATGAAACCACGGAAACGACGCAAACATCCACCTCAGGCTGCTGAACGTTTACCAAAAAACTTACCTAAATATTTGTAGCATTTGGTAAATCTCTTTAATTTGAACATAAACACTAACTTCAGTTTTAATTCATGAACATGAATTTTGCTGTCAAATAAGCTTGTCGCAATAAGCAATCGATCAATTAATTGCCTAATAAATTAAAATGAGCTGCTTAATTTCCATTCTGGTGATTCACATTTTTTGAAGGGCAATTTTATAATCCATTTTATTTGTGGCTTTAGCTATTAGTGGTTTTTATTTCTGTTTTATTTTGAGTATTTAAGATATCTTCCAGTCCCAGAGCGAAGTATTCTTTACAAAATAAAAGTTTACTGGTGTTTGAGACCAATAAAGTAATATATTACTTGAAAATGGTCTCAAATCAAGAGTTTTATTCATCGCAATAATTGCTGGGACAATTTATCGTCCAGCAAAATTAGTCGTCATGCCAGGCCTGCTGTCACTGGAGGTAAACACTGAGTTTGAGAGACGTGTGTTTTCCTACACTGTGCTGACTCTCGATCTCTTCGTGTTTCTGCTGCAGAGCCTGCGCCGCTCGCATCGAGTCGCCGATCGTTTGTTGAGTCTTCAGCAGCTCTGAACCGGGACCCTGCAGCCAGTTCACCACCTGATGAAAAACAGATGGGAAAAAAAAAGAAAAACATACATGCTGATCTTATCTGTGGGTATTTAACTCAATATTTATTTCATTTCAAATAAAACTGTCAAAACGTAGCAGAGTGAGACACAGGCAGCAAAACCAGGTGCCTTCCCATTAAAGCATCATACATTGTTAATGTTAGCATCGATGTCGATCACACGCCTGGCGCATCGTAGCTTTCATACTAAATGAACTGGATTTACGTGGAGGTCTCCATATTTTTTTAACCACTCAAAGTGCTTTATGTCTGTCAGCAGATTCATCCGACACATTAGTAGCATTTGTGGGGTTCAGTCAGTAGGCAGGCTAACAGGAGGTCCATTAAAACACGCCAAGCATCCTCCTCCAGAGGGAGTTAAAAAAAAGGCGCAGTAGTTCACATGAGCAACCAGCAGGGGGCTCTGGTGCTCTACCTGCTGCTCTGTGAGTAATCCACTCCACCACAGACGAGTGAATGAACTCAAAGCGTTTTGAGGGACCGCTCGACTCGTTTTGCCTTCTTAGCTTAGCAGTTTGAACACAATCGGTCTTGAAAGTCACTGGTAAAAGTTTTAATAAAGTCAATCTATTTTACTTTTTGATAAAGCCAGTTAAAACTGTGATTACAGGCTGTTTGAATTTAGAGTTTAATCTAAAGTGACACCGTTACCGTCACCGTCAACGTCACAAATTGGCGTAATGCATTTACGCCAATTTTACTTTAAAAAGGCAAGTTAAACTAATAGGAGGATAAGGTTTGTAAGGTTTGAGCTGAAATTAAAGCAAAATGAATTTTTCTGCCGTTTTCATGTTTGTTTAGAAAAAGCGGATTTCTGGTTCCCTTTTAGATTCACTCATGAGGTTTCTCCGTGAAGAAAACTACACAGATTCATCATAACTGTGTTAACTAAGGTGAAATACTCATGGTATCAGACTAAATGGCAACATCTGCAGATGTTTGGTTGCTTTCCTGTCAGAATCCTGAGTTAATTGTGTTTATCAGGTCAGTGGCGCCTTAAGCAGCACACAAACACGACCACAGTTCGATCCAGAACTAGGCCAACCCCCTTCCACCCCCCCACCGCCTCAAATCCTCTTGAGCTATTGGGCGACTTATTGTGGTTACTATAGCAACCCCAGGCTCATTTCCAAGATGATGTTGTTACCCATCAGCCCCTGTGGCTGTAAGACCTTCAGTCAGCAGTGAATACTGTTCTTGTGCTGAAAAGCTGCACCGTTTCTGAGAGTTGAAGGTTAAAACTGATGAATACACAGAGGAATGAATGCTGCAGCATCCGCCTGACACGATTACACATTTATAACCTGTTCAAAAACATAACTCTGACTTTTAAAAGGCATATGAGGATGAGAAAAATTAATATAGTGAAGTGATTGCAGGTTGGATTTTCATTTTATATGATTTCTGCACATCTTTCCAGCATTAATTTTTCAGTCCTTTCAACTAAGAAAAGAAAGAGAAAGAGAGAAAGAAAGGAAAACAAAAAGTAAGGAGGACAGACAAGGAAAGAAGGAATTCAGGGTTTTCCCCAGTGTATTATAAGCCTGGCGGGCCACCAGGCTTTACTTGTGCCTGGCTGAGCATTGTTTACTTAAAGGACAAAAAAGAAGAAAGGGATGACACAAGGAATGAAAAAAGGGAAAATAAAAGAGTAGGAGGCCATGTGGCTGGATGGAGAGAATGAAGTTTACATCGAAGGAAGGACTCAAGAAAATGAAATGGATACATAGAAGAACAAGCGAACGAGGAGAAGAGTCTAGAAATACAAATATGTTTCCATATTTATATGCTCCTTTTCTGAACTGATCCAGAAAACACTTGAACCAGATCATTTTATATGCTGGGCCCCTGCTGTGATTTTCTACCAGTTTCATTTGTCCTGGTTCTCTCTGTAAAACGGCAGCGTTCGTTACCTGCATGACCTTGGTGTGGATCTCGTCCAGCTGCGCTCTCTTGTTCCGCTGCCTGCACAGCTCCTGGTACTTGGTGTACTGCTCCCTGAGCGAGTCCAGCAGCTTCGTCACCTGAGGCTGAGCCAGCAGCTCCTCCTCCATGGGGCACCAAGCTGGAGCTGGGAGAGACAGACACCAGAATCGATCACGCCCGTGTTTGAAACAGGTTTTAGTGACAACATCGTCAGATGGAGAGACGGGAATTCATTAAAGACTGAACGCTGCGTGTAATGAACCACTTAAGTACTATTAATTAATCTATTTTTCAATGACACACTGTTGCACAGCTATAAAGCACTTTGGGGAAACAACTAAACATTTATCCTGACCATTTTTTTTCTTTAAGCCCCATAATGTAAGAAAAACAAGGATAAGCAGACTAGCTATGACAATTAGCTTAAGTTAGCATTCTAATTTTAAGAACTATTACCTCAAAAGTTGAAATGGAAAAAAATCTCTGACTCAACTTTGTTAGTTAATTTAAAACACTGTTTTAACTTAATATAATTAATAACTTGGCAGAATGCAGTTACAGATGACTTACACAATTAAGCTAGCAGACAGTTGTTAAAGCTAGCAACTAGCTTTAACAGTAGGTGGTGTTAAATGACTTTCATGTTTCCTAAAGCAATAATAAAATAAATTTATACAGCACCAATTTATTTTGCGTCACACAGTAAGTAAAAATAAACCCTGATTTCTCTCAGGTCCGAGGCAGCCATTTTTTTTTTTGTGGTTCCTCACCTGCCTGCCCTCCTCCTCCTCCCTCTGAGCCGTTGAAGCGGCGCTGCTGCAGCTCCGACAGCAGCTCGTGACCTGCACACACACACAGAAGTTCAAACAATAAAGGATTTTACAAAAAGATAAATAAATAAAAATATGGGAAACAATGAGGGGTCAGTGTTTGTTTACATGCCGTTACATTATGACAGAAGCTTGTGAATGGAGGATGGTGGTACCACAAACAAAGACTCCTTTAACCTCTGGCCAACACACACAAGCCAGTCCTTTCAATGAGCACATCCACCCAGCATATGCAGATGATGTTAGTGGCTGTTTGGCGTCAGGGTTGGTGTCAAACTAGTCTGTTGGTGTCGAACACCTCAGAGTCAGCACTGGCAACATGAGAAGGGAGACGCTGTCTGGCTGTTCAGACTCATTTTAGCTTCACTATGCAAAGCTATGCAAAGCTCACATCATCATTAATTCTGCAGGCTACCAAAAAACACCCTAACAAAGAATGTCAGGTTGCCAGGTTTTATAAAGACGCAACTGGATTTTACAGCAGGACAATGATCTGAAGCACAGCAGGAAATCCATCTTTGAATGGCTAAAAATGATTTAAAAACAAGACAAGGTTCTGCAGCCCACACTTAAATGAGATTGCGACGCTCTGACATAACCATAAAGAAGCTGTTTGTGCTAGAAAATCCTCTCGCATGGCTGAATTAAAATAATTCTGCAAAGAATAGAGGGCCAAGGTAGTAAATGCTTGATTCCAATCTCTCCTGCCAAGGACGGCACAGCCAGTTCCCCTAACGAATGAAATAATCCTTTAGCAGCAGCTTTAGTTTACTGATAATAAAACTGGTTTCATGTTTTGAAAAACTTAAACGTCATGAAAAGAAAAGCAAAAACAGGAGAGATCTCTAAGGAATGTGTCCATTTTTGGCAATGGGAAGTGTCTGTGTTACTGATTTTCATAGTTTCTTTGATAATTCAATCTGCCATGCTTTTGTAAAGTAATTATTGTGATTCTGTGAGAATAAAGCTTGTTTTTGTCTTGAGGACAAAGAAATGATTGTTCAGTGAAGCATCATGTCTGTGCTTCATTATGAGGGATATTTCATCCTCACATTGCTCGCCCGACCTTGATGCAGTTGATCATTTGGCTCTTTGAATCACTGAGGAGTGTTGCTGTAGAAAAGTGGGTCATTAATAAGAACAGAGCTGTTCTCTGTCATTGTTACCTTAAAACCTCCCATAAAACCATGATAAAATACCTAAACAACTTTTGATTGTGACCTTAAGAAATCTATCAATTTTTGTTCTGGATTCTTTGCCATACACATATCAACTCTTTATTTTCTAATTCCATTCATAATCTTGCAGTTATTACATGCTTTCTGCAGGTTTTAAAGACCATTACAAATGGAAATGTACCAAAAAAATGCAAATAAATAAATCGTATGGGTTGGCAACAGGAGTAAGCCAATAGCAAAGACGAATATTGTTCCGTCAACTAATGATAAATTTGCATTTACACGTGATGGATGTAAAAAAAAAAAGACAGCTAGCTCGCTAGCAAACGTGTGTTAGCAGCAAGTTAGCGGTAGCTACAGTGGAGACGTCTGCATGCAAGTCAAACTTTCGAAGAAAACTACATGGGATTTATAAGATTAAATAGTCCTATCACAACAATAAATGAATTAAAGGTCAACTCATTACTTTTTCCCTTCAAATTTAAGACATTTGAATGCCTTACTTTTATATACATGAATAAAATGTGCAGACACTCTGTATTAGTTGAAATGTTTACACCACTGGAAATCTGTTGGACCCAACGTAAAACTGGTTTACATTCAGAAAGAAAATAATACTTACCAGTCTGGAGGACAGTTTCAGGATCAAAGGATGGCAAGAGAGCTCCATCAGTAGATCTACAAAGATAAAACAGAGCGTCTACTTCAAAACTGTAGCTGTGTGTGACTGGATACATGTCCGAGGATCCTGGGGGAGACTGCCTACTTGTCTTTGTCCACCGAGGCGCTCTTCTCACTGTCGTTAATGATCGTTAGCTCGTCCAGAAGAGACGTCGACTCCATTGTGAACTTCTCAAAAACCTGAAATAAAAGACAAATAAATGAGGTGCTATCAACATGCAGCAAGCTGTAAAAGTAGAGGTCATTTACATATATTTCACTTACCAGCCTCTTGTTGAGCCAGTCGCTGTGGTCGTAGTCCAGACTTCCTCCGAAATCGTCCGTCAGCTGGCACGGTTCGATGTAGCGAGTGAGCTTATTGGCCGAAACCAGGATCACCTGAATCGACGAATAAAGGTTGACAACAGCTGGCGATACTTTTGTTGAATGAAAGTAACGCCATGCGGTACATTTACGTATAAAGTTTGCTCTCAAAGTCTCAAATCATAAATTCAACCATAATTTCGCAGAGAAATAAGGGAAGGAAAATCTGAACTGCGTTTAAGACTATTTTATTGGATACGTTTTATATTTTTATCTTTTCGCGTTTCCCAATTTCCATCTGTTTAATGATTTTTCTAATTTCATTCAAGAGGGTAACATTACACAAAGAACACGTCTCCAAGAAAAAATAAAGTATATGATTTTTCTTTTCTACTTCTGTAAGCACTAAAAAAAATCTTTTTCAATTTCTTGAAATTAAGTGGATTTTATTATGCTCTAAAACTTAAAAAAAGTGAAAAGTGTAGCATTTACTTGGGATTTGCTTGGATTTTTTTTCAATGAGTGCACATAAACAACACATTTGTTCAGTACATAAGTTTACAGCACGGTCACTAACTTTACTATTACAACAACAACAGGGGCTACTTTAAATATAATACCATAAAAAAACAACAATTCAAAACCAAAATAATTGTTCAATAATAAGAAGACAGACAGCAAATTCTGCTCAGATTTCTTATTTTTTCTCTTCTTAAACAGCCATCATTGGTAGGGCCAGACATTCTCTCTTCCGTTTCATTTCATCTTTGCTCACTTATGGAAAAACTAGGTTTAAATATGTACTTTTCCAAACAAGCCTCTATTACACATTCCATAACAGCAGCAGGCTGTGAACAGAGCAAACCTAATTACAGCTTTTATAACAACTTGAAGGCATTTATTGCTCCCTCACATCTGTTTTTCTTCCTTTACTTAATAACTGTTATTAATTTTCTGCTCACGCCTGAATCACATTCCCTGGGACTCGGCTTTGCAGCGGAGCAGCAGATTGTTCTCTTTTGGGCTGTTTAGCAAACACATTCGAGAGGCTGGGGATAATAAGAGCCTGTGTGGATATCCCAAAATCATAGGGGAACTTTAGGAGATCCTGTGGCGCTCCACTAAATTCTCCAGAATCATAACTTAAGACACGGTTGTGATGTTGATCGTATGTAATAACTCTGGACTTCTGCTCCTTGGTTCTCCAAGTCGTTATTCTGATTCCTTCAACAGCAACTACTGACTAAATAGATCGTCTTTGTTTTCATCATATTCATAAACAACTCTCAACAAAAAAAAAAAAAAACTTAAAATCCATCATTGCAGCTGCATAACTGCACAATGGAAACATTGAGAACATTCCAGTCAAGTCAGGCAGATATGTGTGAAATAAGAAGCGGCTACTTGCCTGAACTCGCAACACTCAGAGCAACAATAAAATACATTTTCCTTTAAATTGCGCTACATTTATAAGAAAGATGCAGGCTGAGCAGCAGAGGTGAGTGTTAGAGTTTAGCCTGTGAAAAACAAACGTAACCCATTCTGCCGATGTGAAAAGAGCTATTCTGCAATAATAGTCGGAGTCAGTAACAAAGAGGAAATCCTCACATAATTACAGTTCATCAAACTGTTTACATGACAGTTTGGGACACTTTAACCAAACCTTAATAAAGCCAAGCAGCCCTATTCGTTGTTTGGGTCTTTATTAGAGCCACTTCGTTAATCATTGACCCAGTTACTGCAAAATGCTTTAAACCAACTTTTTTTCTTTCTACAAAAAAAACTTAGATATTTTTCTTGGATCAAACTCTACATTATGTTGGTTTGTTTGACTCAAAATACAATTTTTGTGATCCACAGTTCTTGGATCACAAGATGAACTTTTGCCTCAGAGTCTCTGACGGTTTCCTAATCTGAAAACAGAGCACACTGTGTTTCAACTCGGCCTGCAAGCTTTAAGAATTATAACAGAAAGAAAAAAAGAGAAAAACAAGCTCACCTTTGAGTTAACGCCAACTTTAGACAGTAACCTTGTTTTTTTGTTTTTTTTCCCCTCATTTTCACATGAATAGCATCTGCAGTAAGTCTGGCTCAGAAATAAACCTGGAAGAGACAGCTGGTGGAGAGTCTGTCTTCCAGTTGTCACGGCAGAAGATGCCAGCAGTAAACCTGGACTCCAACCAGAGAGTGTGAGAGTGTTTTTGATATAAGTGCTGGGTCAGACGCTACAGCAGCTGTACAACCCGCTGTGTCAACCACGACGGCTCTCCATAGCTGAGATGAGTCACATTTCAGCAGCGTCACTGGGGTCTCCATATCTAGCAGCTGTGCATGTTTGCTTCTGCCCAGGAATGGACAGAGGACAAAGACGCCCAGAGACACAGCAGAATGATTCCACCAACAGTTTGTTACGACTCTCAAAACGTATGTTTTTGTTTTCAGCAAATCGAATCGACCCAAATAGTGGGATATACATTTCTGTTGCTCTAGAGCTTGAATTTAACCCTTTGCTGCTCACGGACAACTCCGGTTCGGTTTAAAAACAAGGTTATCGTCACGTCCACCGTGACTGATTATCTTTCTGTAACTACTTCCAAGTCGCCACACAACACCAGTCGACTTGATCCGGTTACCGTGGCGACGATCGCCGAGCCAACACGGCTGCGGAAATTTGGGTCAGTAAGACTACAGATCTGTATCAGCAAAACCATCTGTCTTTTGGTCGAGGTGGTGACGAAAAAAATCACACAGGAACACACACAAACACACACTGCAGTGTCATCTGAGGGGTACGGCAGTGATACTAAAGGCTAACACACACGCATACGCGCGCACGCACGCACACACGCACACACACGAGTCAAATTGTTCGATATTGTTCAACAAGACAACTTAGATAAGAGAGAACTCCAGAGAGAACAAGGGGATTTTTAATAAAAATAAAACAGAAAAGCTGTTTTCATTTGCTTTAAACAGGATCCAGGAACGTCCCACAAGAGCTGGAGTTTTAGAGGAGCTCAGTTATTTGCTTCTCGTCAAACTTAATTAAATCCTTTCTCTTGCCTCTTTTTCCTGCCAATAACTCATCATCATCGAACACAAAATGCTCTCTGTGCTCCAGTGCAACCGCTCAACTAACAGATTAGACGAAGCAGAGATAATCGTTGTTATTCCCATCATCTGTCATAATGTAATTACTGATCAATGTATCTCACCAGTTTTAATGAAACACCCACCAAAAATATCTAACACCAAAGAACAACGCTTGAAAACAAATTCCTCAGATTTTACAGAATAAAAACACTTTATTTTGAGGGAACAAGAACAAGAACCCAAAATTAGGGAAAAGATGAACCAGAAATCACAGGAAATGATGGTCTCGGCAAAACCCAACAGTTATCATCTAAATAAAGAAAACACCCAGAAGCTAAAGAAATATGGAGTTTGTTCTTTTCTAATTTTAGGCACCACAATGGCAGAAAAAAAACCCATCAATATCCTGTAAAAATATTATTCTTTTAAATTTTCTGTTTAATTCTTCTTCTTCTCATTTGCGTAGAAACCAGAACATTATCGCCCCCTATCAAGTTGAATTCAGTATTGCACACCTAGATCTTGAAACACTCAGGGATGAACTACAATTTCATTACAATGTGTTATGCTTGTATTTTTTTCATGCCTGGTGTTTACTTTCCAAATACCATCCAAGCATAAAAGAACTAAAAGCTGGTATTGCGGTTTTGCTTTTAGAAGGCGAGACTCTCTTACCTCAAAGCCCAGGCGATCTTTCTCCTTCCAGAAACAGAAGTGGGTGACCTTCTTATCCCAGAATTCATCAGGCTTCACCACACAGACCAGCGACACCTCGGCTGGGATGACGTTCTGAAACCCCACCCACACACCACCATCATTAAAAACCCACAAAAAAGCTACCAGACGTCTGACCCTGGAAGAAGGTTTAACGTATTTCCACCTGCAGCATGAGGACCACCGTCTTCACGATGTTCCACTGAGACCGCCGGCCGTCCACGATCACAGTGAAACCCCGAGCCTTGCACTTGTCACTGGAAGTGGGAAACGGGAGTTTAGCTTCAACAAGGACTCACAGAAACACTTTAGGCTAGCTTGGCTAGCATGCCTGTACCTGGGGATGCTGAGCAAGTAGTCCAGAGTGGCGCTAAGTTCCTCCATGCTGGTCTGGTCCGAGTTGAGGGGGATGGTCAGGATCAGACCACTGCGCCGGTCCTTGCCTCCTGTCACAGACGCCCAGACAGGTTAGGTCGCTGAAGGAAAGATTTGGGATTAAAGCAACATGACGACAAGTTTATTACCTGAGAGGAAGGCCAGCTTCTTTTTTAGGATGGGGAGGATGGAGCTCGCTTCCATGGTGACGCCAGACATCTGGAGAGACATGAGAGACTTCAACCAAAACGCCAACTGACAAGACGAAACTCTTGGTGCTGAGATTACTAACGTACAGCAGGAATTGCTCAGAGGGAATAAGACAACATAAACAGGGCACAACGACGACGATGTTTCTGGGATTGAGGAGACATTCGAGTAGCTGAAGTCACATTAAGCTAAAAAATAGAAAATGCTTCACTCTATTCATATCCTTGGTGGAAAAAGAAATAAATCCTCCACTTCAGACAATTAAACTTTCATACACAAATCAGTCGGCCAGCGATTATAATTCCTGTTCAGTGCCTGAGTTTAATCTAAGGACTCCCACCACATCAATCAACAGCTTCCATGTTTTTACAGTCAACTTAAATAAAAATGATATTAAGGTTTGGCACATAGTTTCAGATGCACAAACAGAGATAATCTTGTAATTTCTTAATTTTCTGTTGTATTCAGAATACTACCACTACCAAGGATGCTGCAGCACATTTTCCTCCTTACTGCGTTTGGAAAAAGTCATCATCTCAAAGCAAAACCAGCCTCATCATCTTATTTTTCTTCCCAGCCTCAACTTCAATTGATGCCCGAGCAGCTCATTGGAAATGACTATTAATTTCACTACTTGTTTTGATTTTATCTTCAGATGCCCTCCTGTTACACACTTTATTTCAGGAAGGAATGAACAACTCTTTGGGTCTTTAACAGCAAAGAGAAATTAAGATTGATTTGGTTGGTCATTGAACACATCATGAACACTGTGATGAGCTAAAATAATCAGCGATCATCATTTAAAGCAAACTGCTCAAGGATCAGCTTTTAAAACTTTGAATCTCTAAATAACTAAAGGAAAACAAAACATCCAGCATCCTAGACTGACTTGTGATGAAATTTTAGTTTATAAAACTACAGAAGGCAGAAAACATCCATGATTTTGATGAAAAATCTCATAATTTTCTATAAATATTTATGCTCTGCGGGCTTTTGTTGTCTGTCAAAACTGAGTGAGTCAGCTGTCAAATGTGTACAAAGGGCTTTGAGTGTAATATCTGTGGTGAAGACCTCAAAAGATAAACACCCTGAGTAAGACGGGGGATGAGTGCGTCTCAGCTCATCACCTGAAACCACCTGCAAAGAAAAGCGCTCAAAACACAGAGAGACGTCACAGATGTTTAAAGACCTGTGGGGGGGGGGGGGGGGGGGGGCCCCTTTTCCCCTGGGGGGTTGGGGTTTGAAAAAAAAAACCAAGTCCAAAAGTGAA